TCTAGTCTAATTGGGCAACCTTGCCAAGCTTTGCAACGCTTTGCTAAGTTCAGCTTAGCGAAGTTCATTTCACGCAATTGTTTTTTCATTTTTTCACGCCGCGTTAGTTTCCCCGCTTCCCCTTCCTCGTTGTGATTCATTTTAATAATGATTAACAAAAACACACCCGGTAGGCAAAAAACTGTCCAGGAGGGAACTTTATGCACAAAACTGCTTAAAGAATTCCTTCCCATTTTTTTTTTAACCTCACTACGTGCCTGTGCATGCGGTATGTGTATGTTCTTGCGTCCCACTTGATGACGCCCTCGTTTGGCAAATTATCCTCCTAATTGGGATGGCATTCCTTTTCTGTGCACACCCGTGAAATCCTCTCTGTTTCACGATTTTATCTGCCCGGGGGGGTAACAATTTTACGACAGCTTGGTTTGGCAAGCTTTCCAAATCTGCACAAAACGGAAAGGCGAAAAACCCAACTGTCGTAAAATTCTTCCCTCCACGTACACATTCGCGCGCTCTTTGGCCTCTATATACATTCCATCCTAATAATGCACCTGCTTATTTCCCTCTTCATGTACTGTACCCCCCTGCCCACTCCAAGGGAAAAATTTTCCACTACCTTAGCACACATTGACCGGCACACTGACCCACATATTCGCCAAATTTTTTCCTCGCATTTTAGCTGATTTCATTTTACCGCTGATCATTTCTGCATTCGCTGTATCAGTTGTTCGTTTTTTTTTTTTTTTTTTTCCCTTACCATGCGCACTTTTGCTTGTACGTAACTGTATCCCCATGTGCACGCTTAACGCATACCTAGAGTAACATTTCAAGGGTTTGCCTCACTGCCCGCTAACTGCCAATTTCGCGCATCTTCATATTGGAAAATTAATTGTGCATGAGCAGACACGTTCATACGCACGGTTAACGAAAAATGCGTTGGTCCGAACACACCCTGGAGTGACTACGCCAGACAAGTTGCCGCACATCGATTTGCTCTTACGGTTAGGCACCACCCCACACATACACACCCTCACCCTCTTACCCATTCATGTGAACACCCCCAACCCGCCATGCGCACGGAACGGAACGGCTCCCAGACCTCTAACTGAAAATGCTTGGTTACAGAGAAGAACCAAAGTAATATGTATGAACAGAAATACCTTCCTGCACAAGTGGAGGGAAATGAAATGTTTCCATCTTTTACGAAAAAGTTTTATTTTATTCTTTTTCTCTTTCTTTTTCTTTTTCATGTTGTATCCTCCTTTTAGTTCAAAAGATCCAACGAAAAAAAAATTCATCATTTTTGGATTGCCGTTCTCGGGGAAAACTTCCATAATTTACTTCTTCAAGCTGGGCTACCTCATAACAACGGTTAGTGTACCTTCACCGAAAGGCATCGCCGAGGGCACAGCTTTTCTCCCTCCTCTTCCTCTGCTCGACATTCCTGAACGTTCAGGTGGTATCTTTCGTATAGAAGTTTCGTAGCTTCTCCAATTTTTAAAAAAAATGTAGAGGGTGGAAAGCATACACACGGGAAATGCACACCAGGTGTTTGCCATCAGGCGAATAGGAAAAAATTAAGTATTTGACTGGTCGGGAAAGGGCAGCCTGAAGCGGCTGCAAAGGTGTCATCAGAATGTGCCGCGCTAATGTGCGCTGTTATTATTACCTCAGGGAAACCCATTCCTCATCATACTTGCCCCTCCCCTGCGCTCAGGTAAGAACACTCTTCATCAACGAAGAAAGTTTCAGCGTGAAAATCAAAACAGGCGAAAACAGGCTGGGCGAAAGGAATTACGAAATAACCTTCTTCGAAGTAGGAACGGATTGCTCATACAGCTTAATAAAACAATACGCGGACGTTTCAAATGACGTGATCTACATTGTCGACAGTGCACACAAAAGTGCCCTATGTGAGGCCAGAGAAGAGTTCATCAGAATCATATATGATTTCCGATTTGTGTATAGAAAATGTAAATTCTTAATCTTTATGAATAAGCAAGATTCGAATGGCTGCCTCCCGTCAGAGGAAATTATAAATTATTTCGCCCTTCCAAAGGAGCTGCGCTTCAGGTGTAAATTCTTTTCTTGTAGCACCTTATCTGGGCAGGGACTAAAAGAGGGCTTAGAATGGCTGGTGAACGCGGACGTTTTTTTTGACAAAAATGATGCTGTTGTTGAAAGGAGTGGGGGAACATTTTACAACTACTAGTCCAGTCAGAGGTTTATTTATTTTTTCTTTTTCTTCTTGCAGACGTGTGTAAATCTGCCGAACAGGGAGCAAAGTAAAAAAAAAAAAAAAAAAAGCAACATTTTTTTTTTTTGTTTTTTTCCTGTCCGTTTGCTGAATGTACATTTTTTAATAGAGAGGAGAAGGCGTTCCTGAGACTGCTGCCTCCACGTTTGCAAATATATCTACGTTTGTATGCACCTACGTAAAGACACACTGAATAGACCTTTTAATAATCACTATATTTTGTAATACTTTTCTTCTTAAAGACCTTTTTATTCAGAAAATATTTCATAAGTTTAGCTGTGTCCCAATTTGTATTTTCTCTTGTGTCATTCTTTCCGCGTTGTCACTCTACTTTTGTTCTATCACCCTGCCATGCGGTTCCAGAATTTTTTTTTTTTTTAACTTTTAAACCGCCAAATGTGCTACATTTTTTCTCCCTTTGGAAATAACAAATTTAAATTGTAAAAAAAAAAAAAAAGTAAAAAAAAAAGAGGCGTATCTCTCAACTGTGACGATGTCAATTTGGGAAAGACAAGGATGATGAACATGGGTACAAACTACAACATCAGCACAACTCCCCAAAATGGGAAGATTTTCCTTTTTAAAATATGTTTAAGTGGAGAATCCTTTCCCCTATAATGTCGTTAAGCTGGGAAGGAAGGGGCAAAGGGGCGTGCACATACAATGTAGAAGAGAAGAACATGTGGCGAGGGGAGACAATAAAATAAGAATTTTAAATGAGGAATAAAATGTCCTAAGTTTAGTTCCTTCCCATCAGTTTAGTTCCTTCTCATCAGCTTAGTTCCACCCCCTCGTTCGTCCTTTTTCACCGTCCCCGTTTTTTTCCACCCCATTTTGTATTTTCATTTTTAAAATGAAATTACCTGGTCGAGCTCTTCCAAAATGTTCTGTTCCCCTTCGCCCACATCTTTGTGGTACCTCTCGGCTAGCTTCTGCAAAAAAAAGTAAGAAAAAAAATAAAATAGAATAAAATAGAAAAATTCTCTTAATTCTTAACCGGATGAGAAAAAAAAGTACACTCCTTTTTAGCTTATATACTTTTAAAGAATTTTCCGAATATTCTTTTTCCACTTCATCCTTGATCTCCTTCACTTCGTATTCTTTGCGCAGTGTAAAAGACAAAAATGGGAACAATTTTGGCAACAGCGAGGAGTGACACCAGGAAAAGGTAAACATTATGCTCTAGAGAAAATTTCAATCTCACCTTGACTCATTTTATCCCCCGGAATGGCATTCACAGAGTGCGAATTTAAAGGCTGCGGAAAGGTAAAACAAAACGGGACGTTTTTCCTTGTTCGCGTTAGAAACGACTGAGCTTTGAAGTAGAACTAACCTTATATATGTTCAGTACATCATATGGGAGTTGCGCGTACGCTGTACACACAAACGCGAGGAAGAGGAAAAGAAGGATGCGTGCCATTCTGGGAAAAACAAAAGGGAAAGAAAAGACCACGCGGTTCCAAGTAAGCCTGGGAGTAACACGCAAAATGTACGTAATAAGGAGGCAGAAATATATATTTTTACCCTTTGGAGGAAGATACGCATTTAAGCAAAACAAACATTTCGATTGGGCGTAAAAAAAAAAGATTTAATTTGGTGAAGCTTCTTTTTGCAGAATAGGAGTCCTAGCGATGTTGTCCTATTTCCATTTTTTTTTTTTTTTTTTTTACCGTTTCTTCTCAAGGCAAAATGTATGTACCCTCTCGCACAATTTTCCTATTTAGGGGGATGTTCACTCATGTGTGTAAATACAACAGACGGAAATTCACTTCCATGCAAGTTCCTCCCTTGGGGAGCTGGATAAAACGGCAGACGGGCGTTAACTGTATATATATGCACACAAACAGCCAAGGGTACTTGCCTTTCATCAACCCTACAGCTAAAGTCAGACCTGCGTTGAAGGCAGAACAAATAAAAACCCATTTGGCACTGCTGTGGGGGAAGCAAAAACAAGATAATGTCAACCTACCTGTCTCTACAAATAGTCGAAAAGACTTCCACTTTGTAAATTATTTTACAACGTTCTTTCGATTTAGTCAACTGGTCCTTTAACCTTTTTTTTCTTTTTCTTTTCTTTTTTTTTCCCGCATTTATTGGCTTACTCAACCTTCGCGATCATAACATCACTGCGGCGAAGCAAAGCCATGCAAAATAGAATGGGGTAAATGCAGTTTAAGTATGCCTGGTGATAATTTAAAAAAGATTTTCCATCCCATGGTGATTCACCCGTGAGGATCTTACATGCGTAACCGTCTGTGCACAAATGCTTTCCTTTGTCCAGCAGAAGGAAAAAAATACATATCTTCGGGAATATACACATGCGTGCAGAGCATACGCACGCCCTTCCATTAAAATGTCTGCTGTGACGAATGCGCCTTGTCCAATAACAATGCCGGAAAAATTACTTAACAGGGGAACGATTTTTAAAACGTATTTCGTATCCTTCAAATGAAGAAGGTATGCACATTATAAGTGAACGGGTTTCCCACTATAGTACATAGCCCCCCAAAAAAAATAAGACCATAAAAAAAAATACATGTATGTATGTATACATATATATATAAATAACTCAGTAGAGCAGATTTGACTTCCCCATTTTTGTGAGGAGAATTACTTCCCCTACGTGCGTCCAACTTCTTCCCCGTCTCGCGCAACACCGTTAACAATACCGTCGGAGTACCAAAAAAATGGTTAAAAATGAATAAAAATGAGGTGAACAACTTTTTGTGCCAGTTTGACTTCTCCGCCCTGGAGGAGTTAGACCCATCATTAGGTAACTTCAAAAGTGGGAAGTCGGGAAAAAGCCTTCCGGAGGTTTTCTTTTTTCCAGTCTACCTCACCTAGAGTAGAAGCTATCGCCAAAGCGTGGTGATGCTACACGAACCTGCCTCTGCACATGCGTACGCCCTTTACCACGCCCTTTACAGCGGATGGCTACACCGCTTGCTACAGAAAAGAAGTCCCGTTCGAGATAAAGGTTGAACAGGCGAACAACGTGCCGCAGGAAATAGGCTCACTGGAAGTTCTAACGGTGAAACTTCTCGCGTTGGTAGGGCGGAGGGTTTGACCGTGTGCATGGTCTTGCACGTCAGGGTCAGCATACGCCTCATGGCTGTTCTCATCAGTGTGGATTAAAACCCACACTTAGTGCGCCCCCTTACCCTGCGCACATATAGCTACAGAACTGGTATTTTTTCCACACCACCTGCAGGGGGACGAATCAAATGCCAAGCGCATCAAGATAGAGCTAACGTGTGAAGCGGACCTGTTTTTTCACTTTACACAAACGTAATGAATGAGGCGAAGTGATATCGTAAGGGTCCACTCCGCTGTGTTTTTGTGCCAAGAGAATTTGCCTATCTCTTTACCGCTCTCCTTCCCTTGTCCATTTCGCCCCTTTTTTTTTCAACTTTCTATTTCCCCTCCCCTACAGAGTAGACGAACGCTCATTTGAAGCCATGCAGACCAGCCAAAAACTTATGATTAATTTTTCTGAATATTTGGAAGTCTTAATAAAAATGTTCAATTCCTGTGTACGGGACCCGCGCAGGTGGGCATGGATTACGCCGTGTTGACCACGTCGTTTTTTTTTTCTTATCTAATTTGGTTATTCCTATGAAGCAGTACAAAGTGTTCCCCTTTCTGTTGTGGCAATTTAGATGACTTGATATTCTGACCTGTGTGTGTGT